ATATAAATTTTATACACACACACACGCACACACACACATATATATATATATGTGTGTATGCATTTATCTAACGAATCAAGGATTGGTCGGTGGTACTGTTTCAGCGGGTATTGTAGTATTTCATGACTCCGATATCAGCACGGTCGCAAGCCGCTTTGTGGAGCGGCAACAATTTAAGTTATATACCCTGTATGTGGATAACATTTATATGATAATTGCAAAGATGAAACGGTGAATTAAGTTAAGGATGAATTAGGTTTAAGGATGAAATAAGCTTTAAGGATGAAATAGGTTTGAAGGATGAAATTGGTTTGAAGGATGATCAAATTCAAGAATGAAATAGGTTCAAGGATGAATTAGGTTTTAAGGATAAAATAGGTTTCAAGCTTGAATCAAGTTCAAGGGTGAATTGGGTTCATGGATGAATTATGTTTCTTATATCGGATGTGTTGGTTGTTTCGGTCTCTCTCTCTCCCGTCTGCGCCGTCTCTGCACACTCACCCACGAGCATGCATCTCACGATCAAGCAACAGTACTGTACAAAGCACCCCCATCTTTCTGTTAATTAAGGGCACGAAGCCCTCGATACGAATTTTACTCGTCAATACTGTATCTGACAGCATAAACCATGCACTTATTTTTTAACCAACGCTTCTGCACTCACTTTACTATACATTTATCCGTAGACCAACTCTTCTATGCTCATAATCCTGCCCCCTTTGCTGTACTAATTGCTGTACTTCAGGTGCTACTAAAAACGTACCCTTTTACTATACATTTATCCGTAGACCAACCTTTCTATGCTCATAATCCTGGCCCCTTTGCTGTACTAATTCTTGTACCTCAGGTGCTACTGAAAAAGCTGCGCAGGGCTGGGGTAGGCGACCGTCCCATTGTATGGGTAACGCACTCTATGGGTGGTCTACTGGCCAAAGCGGTATGCATGCGTGCATGGTATTCATCTGTGCGTATGTTGTTGGCGTGTATATGAATTCCGTGTCTGTGTTGTGTAGATCGATTACGAACGAGTTAGTCTGTTTCTGGGCTAATGCGTTGTTTCAGCTTGCAGTCCCCCCGCGATTGCAGTTCCGCGACGATCTGTTTGGTTCAAATTTTTATCTGTGTTAGCTCACGCCTTATGTGCGTATACTTTTAACGGGTGGATA